GTGTGTGTGTGTGTTCAGTACCGCTTGATTATACTCTGTGACGTAGCTGATGTTGTTGATGATCAGGAAGCGCAGGAGTCCAGCAGAATCCACCTTCTTGGCCTCAGAGAGTTTCAGATGCTCCTGATGAAGATCAGCCTGACACACACATACACACACACACACACACACACACACACCAACATAACATCGCACATAAATGCACACATATCAACAAACACACAGATACACAAACACTGACATACATACACACATCAACACACACATATCAAAACACACATGCATACAGATACCATACACATTAACACACACATGCGTCAACATACACACACTTCAACGCATACACATCAAGACACACATACTCATCCACATATACATCAACACACACATATCAAACACACAACATACATTAGCACACACACATCAACATATATATCAACACATACATACATACAGATATACACACACATGCGCCGACATATACACACATTAACACACACACATACACATGCACACACATACCCATAAACATTTACACACACATCAACGCATACACATCAGCATATACATCAACACACACACAGTAACATACACACACCAACATACACATAAATGCATACAGACACATCATTACTGGCACATGAACACACACACACACACACACACACTCTGCCATGGCCCTGTGCTGGAGTGCAGCGGGGGCCGAGCGGCTCTCAGTCTTTATCAAACTGCAGGACACGTGAGCGCTTCAGCAGGGTCTACAGCATCTCACAGCTCATGATGAGGGGAACTGAAGCCTGCGGATTCATTAATGATGGTGTTGATGCACAATATTGATCATAAGAGCACTCCAGCGAGCCTGAGGACTGCAATACACTCGCATCTTTCCCTACCAGACTGACTCTCTCCATATGCACTTCTCTAATCTAACTCAACATCTTCATGACTCTTCTGCTTCTCTTGTGTTGAACACGTCTGCTCATTCAGGTGGAGGTTTGGGCTTCGGTTACACCATGATCTCCTGCTGTGTTCTGAACAACAACTGCAATAATCACAATACTGCTGCACAAATCAGCAAATGAGGGTGTCTTTAACACGGACTCTGCAGAAATCGCTTTCTTCAGGCAGGAATCAGTCTAATAAACGGATCTGTAAGACTCTGAAGGCCTTACCGTGGTGATCTGCGCACACA